TTTCCGGGCACGGTTGCTTCGGAAAGTACCTATACTCGGTCGCTAGGAGGGAATCGAGTCCCGCCTGCCACCACTGCGACTGCAGTGAGGATTCGGCCCAGCACACGCTGGCGGTTTGCCCCGCATGGGCGACGCAGCGCCGGGCCCTCACTGCAGTCATCGGAGCAGATCTCTCGCTACCGGCCGTAATTCGCTCCATGGCCGGTAGCGACAGTTGTTTTACCGCGGTCGCAACCTTCTGCGAGGAGGTAATCTCGCGGAAGACGACCTCCACTCGGACCTGATCCGCCGCCGGCGAACCTGGCGGCGGAGGCGCGCTTACCTGCGCCTCATGCCGCCCTGAGTGTGGCCGCGGGTGGACGGGATGGGTTCACCCCTCCACCCGCATTAGTTGGCCAGCCGCGAGGGGGCGGCGTCCGCGTGTGCCGGACGTCGCCTAAGAGAGGTCCTTGAGACGGAGCCCGCGTCAGGAGCGGGCCGGCGCTGGGAGGGGTCCAGAAGGCGATAACTACCTGGACCCCTCCTTAACTGGAAGCGCAAAGAGGGCACACCGTGTGGTTTTAGTCGGTTCGAGTCCGACACACCGCCCCGCCGAACGAGAGCCCTGGCGGGGTGACACACGTAAAAAAAAAAAAAAAAAGGAAGATGTTGATGTTGTATGACTACAGAGTCCACACATAATTTTTAAAGGATACTCTTTTTTAATTCCATACCTTGAAGTTGCTCCTGTTTTGAAGTTTAAGTAAAACTCAGCCTAAAAGATTGATTGTAAAATATTTTTAATGATATTTCACAATAAATGTTTCGGGCCAATATTTTCTATTTAAATAATAATGAATTAGCCTATTCCAGATGAGGTATTTACACTATTCGATTATTTCGAAAATAGCGAACGAGAATGAAAACGTTTAAATTCTTTTGTACGTGTACTTTATTGTTTGCTATTTACTTGAAATGTAATTACACATTTCAAAACCAACATAACGAAAGCTTTGTTATCTTCCACCACATCATACACAAATACATAAGTATATATGTAAATCAATTGAAGTAATTAAACAGTTGTTTGCAGGTTTATGAATATTTTAGTTGATTATTACTTTAGCTAAGTTGGTTATGTAAATCACTAGTGGAGAATTCATGGGGTGATAACTACTCACTCTGAATAAATCGGGGGTTCGAAGAACTGCATGAAAAGCGGACGTGCAAATGGACACGTCTTGTATTACTCTGCACATAAAGGTTCTAGATGCAGATCTAGAACTGTACATAGCTATATGCAGATATAGCTATGTACAGTGCTAAATATAGTTATATAACTATACATATAATATATAAGAATGTAATGTAACCTGCACTTTATTTATTATCTGATTACATACACATACACAACGAAAAGATGACAACTAGGTATATTTAGAAGGCTCTAATATAAATAACTTTCGGAAAATGAAAGCATACATACATGTGTTCCGTTTTGTAATTAAAAATAAACTCGCAACTTTCCTGTCACCATACTTTTTCTGCCAATACCCTACGTCAACTTCTTTTTGATAAATAACACTCATATAATATAATTATGTATATAATAATATATAATTTTCAACAATCCTTTTTAGTTATTTATTTTCTTACGTGCCTGATGCATGAACGTAAGGGGATAAATTTTATGTGAACAAGTCCCGTCATACTTATGATAAATACATTTTTGAGTGACAAAAACGATTAAAATCTGTTAATAAAAAAAAAAAATAACGACTGATTGACAAGTTATAATCAAATGCATTTTAACTATAGAACCTTCTAGGTAGTTTCAGCGCAAAGCAAAGAATAGTAGCATTTTATACAACAATCTTACTGCGACTATAATTTTACATGTATGTATGAACTTTAGTGCTATGCGGAATTTATGTGGAATCTACGTAAACTTATGTCATCAAATCATTAGAGATAAGATAAGATTTCAGAGCAAGGTTATTCTCGATAAACTAAGTACTTCTTTACATGAAGCGCATATAAACTACTAGCTGACCCGCGCAACTTCGTCTACGTCTCTCAATAGTAATAAATTTTCTCCGTTTTTGAAACATTCTTCATTGGTGCTCCGCTCCTTTTGGTCTTAGCGTGATGATATATAGCCTATAGCCTTCCTCGATAAATGGGCTATCTAACACTGAAAGAATTTTTAAAATCGGACCAGTAGTTCCTGAGATTAGCGCGTTCAAACAAACAAACAAACAAACTCTTCAGCTTTATAATATTAGTATAGACTAGCTGACCCGCGCAACTTCGTCTGCGTCTCTCAATAGTAATAAATTTTCTCCGTTTTTGAAACATTCTTCATTGGTGCTCCGCTCCTATTGGTCTTAGCGTGATGATATATAGCCTATAGCCTTCCTCGATAAATGGGCTATCTAACACTGAAAGAATTTTTCAAATCGGACCAGTAGTTCCTGAGATTAGCGCGTTCAAACAAACAAACAAACAAACAAACAAACAAACTCTTCAGCTTTATAATATTAGTATAGATTAAGAAACCCTTCATGGAAAATTGAAGCTGCCTATAAAATATAAAGGAATTGATGACACGACGTACTGCAGTGGTTTCGACATGACGATGTTTTCAAAGAAAATTAGAAAATAGTTTGCTTGTTACATGAATGAGTAGTAAATATTCAACTTACAAAAATGTAAAACCGACTGCAATGTAATTGTAAAACTGTATTCTTAATCCCTTAGAGGTGATTTTTTTTGTTTTTTTGAATATGACAAAGGTGAAGTATCTACCTAATAAAGAATAAATATTTTAATGACGAAAACATAAAAAAAGCCGTGTGGTGTCGTGGGACACCCGATAGGAACGAAGTTGTGATGATCGAGTAAAACTGATTTGACACGATTTTAATTACAACGCCATCTATGAAAGCGGCTATTACCTACATATTAAAAACAATTAAAACAATTTATACATTGGTAAAATCTCCTTGCAAAATGATTTCCTATCTATTCGATAGATGGCCACGCCCGATGTTTCTTAACTTCGGTGATCGGACGAGAATCGGTGTATTCAACATGGTATCGTCCATACCATTGGCGAACGTTAAAGCAAATTTAATGTATGGTATCCACAGTTAGACGTCAATTTATATTAAAAGTGTCGTGACAAATTTTCGTACGAATTTTTTCCGACTAGCCCCCTTTCACAACGCGCGATAAGGAACTTCGTTCCAACAATAACCGCCGAATCAAGAACCGTCTCCTTATTTAGAACATGATTAAAAAAATAGAAAAAGTCAAGTTACTATTGGGAAAAATTACAATAAAATACCTTTTTGTACCGGCAATGAAAAACAATAACTTATTTATTGCAAATGTTATGGAGTTAGTAGGTGTAGTAGTAATTATTATTTCGCAAGGGTTCGTCGACTACACAAATCTGTACACGGCCGAAAGGGTAAGTGTGGGTGGTAAATGTGTGGTATAAGTTGTGCAGTTGTTCATTTAATTCAGTTACCCTAAAGATTTTTAGAGACATTTACACGCATTAAAGGTAGGTGGGTACCAATGGTAGGTCAATTAAACAAAGATAAAAGCCGAATAAATATGTAAGTTAGGTACGTCTAAAAAGAGAGGACCTCTTGGATTGGGAGTTTAGTTGATGTGACAGTGATATCTAACACTGAGATGATGCCTTTTTGCTGTCATTTCGAATGAGTATGTTGCGAAGGGAACTATTTTAGCATCGTCTTGATAGGTAGAAAGAAAATACTATATTTGATTACTAGCTGATGCTAGATTATAATTGAAGTAAGTTATGGCCGGGAAACGTGACTGATAAAAAACGTCGAAATTAATGGTATTACTGTAAAAGATAAAAGTACTAGATAGCCACATGCTTTTCGCCGTCTCGGCACACAAGTTTTGTTTTACTACTTAATATTTGCAATGCAGAATACATGTTCATGTGTAGGAAACCTTCCTGGCCTACCTGTATGTATCTGTAAGAATTAAGCTCACTGTTCACCAACTATTGATCCCACGAATTTAGTATTTTATGATATTATTTTAGGTGTCCAGCAAATTTTAAAACTTTATGCTACTGTTACGCAGCAGAAAACTCAATAACGAATAGTTGAAAATCGAAATAATTGAACCTAATATCTCTGGATTTCTTGCAATCATAAATAAGCGCAAACTTATATGGCGAGACCAACGAAGCAGATCATGTACAACGTTAAAGATAAAATAAGAACCTACTCTATTAGAATAAAATTATACCACAAACAAAATTACAAATTCGCACACACCTCAAATTGCAATGTCATTTCATTATGAAGTAGGTGTATTACGCGTCGGGCAAGTTATTTATTGAATCAATACTTGGGTGGTAGTTGAAATGAGGTTAATCGCAACGAAATATTTATATTTATCGAAGCAATCATAATAAAATGTCCGACAAATCCAGGAAAGTTAAAAAAGGAGGTTCTATTTATTTTATTCAAATTAAGTAGATAATATTATGTCCTATTGCTGCTTGTTAGGTTGAGGAATTTTACAAGGCAGATGAATATAATTAGTTATATACAGTGGATACATTAGGAAGAACGAAAAGAAGGCCTTAACCTGAATTGGATTTTCAGTATCAAGTATCACGATAATTTTTATACAAATACGTAAATCTGATGTATTAGAGGTTTTTAGAAGCATCAAATCAAATCATCAAAAAAAAGGTACACAGAATTAGCAATAAGTTATTACTATATAACATCAGAATTCTTCACATTATTTTTAACCTCTAACCTTTATGGTGGATGTATCATAAACAAGTTTCTTAGAAAGGTAAAGTAGTCACCTTGGAAACTGTCAAAATTATAAAAAACATCATATATTACCATCAATCTACGTTTGAAAATCTAAGTTTGAAGCGTTTAATAAACTGTTACTAATACTAAAATATAAACAAAGCTAGTATGAACAGAATGTATTCGAAAGTAGAAAAGATGAGGCATTATGAGATAATTATGGTGAATCCAATCTATCAAATATCAGATAATGATTTTTTTAAGCGATAAGAGTTTACTGAAGTAGTTGCAAATTATTACAGGCTTAATGAACACGTTTTTGTGTTTTAATACTTAACTAATACAATGCGGTGAAATGAATGCAAGTGTTTCGTTTTTTTTAAGTTCTATTAAGAGATCTCTGTGCAGTTTTAATGTTACTTCACTAAATTGTCAGTAAATGATTTTAGATGATCGAAAACAAATAATCTAAAAATCGAATTAAACTTGTTTCAGATCGAGGAGGTTATGCAGCAGAAGGCGCCAGGGGTGCCTAGTAATTTGAAACTCCAGTGAGTAGTAATTTCAAGCACTTAACTAACTTTAGTCAAATAGCTGTTTGTGATATGAATAAATCTGGTTAGATTTATTCATATCACACAACTCACAGTTAAACTTCGTAGCGCCATCTTTTGAGCGTAGCTTGGATCGCAAAGTATCATAGAAGTGAAGTTTTGTAGAGGGCGTTGTATCGATGATAGTATACATTATTTTCAACATCGTAAGTAGCGGGGATATAGCTCAGTGGTAGAGCATTCGACTGCAGATCGAGAGGTCCCCGGTTCAAACCCGGGTGTCCCCTGTCTTAACTTTTTTGTCATTTTTGTTTTTGTTTTACAGACAACCACACAACTCTGCTTCACAAGTATCACGAAGTAATAACTTCACTGCGAATTTTTTCAAAACTACTTTTAGCTATCGAAGCAAGGCGGTAACGCCCACCTCTTCCTATACCGTTGAGAAATCTATCAAAATAGGCAGCGCGGAGACTAAGCCTGTAACCAGAAATAGGCCCAGGACAGGTATGAAATAAAAATTGTATGATCTTCATGTTAATTTTTGTATTTAAATACTACCATTAGTAGTCAAATCGAAAGTCTAAGTCAAGTCGATTTTTTGGAATATAGTGCTTATCTGTGAATTTCTTAGATTGGCTAAATATTGTACATTATTGTTACTGCATATTTTGATGTTGAAGCTTTTCAACATCATCATCATCAACATCAACAGCCTATACTAGTCCACTGCTGGACATAGGCCTCTCCTTAGAAAGGAGGTTTTGGTTTCCTTCAAATAGGTAAATAAATAAATGACTTTTTTAGCTCCAGCAACAGATGCGTCTAACAAAGTTAAAACGAGACGAGAAATTGATCGCAGACCTAACGTAAGGCCCATCGATAAGCCTTCCACCGAACCTGTGCGACCCTTACGAATTAAGGCTACTACATCAGATTCTGGAGGATCAAATAAAGAAAGTGGGAAAAAGGATGTAAAAAACACAAATGTTATATTGCAAATTGTAAAGAAATCTGTTAAAACACCAGCACCTAAAACGCCGGATAGTATCTTACCACCCACTTTGAAATCGAAAAACGATAGAAATTTAAAAGTTATAAAAACTATAAATAATAATGACGTTTGGACCAATCCTGATGACATCAAAACCACTCAAAGGAAAATATCTCCTCTACTAAAGTAAGTTCGTCATATTTATTGAAATTATGAATGATCGTAAAGGTTCGTTTCATTTTAAATTAGCCGCCAAACGGAAACATCAATAATAACTATCATTCCATTCTCGGTTTTAAGTACAAGGCTCAAAGTTAATATTTCAATGAAACTCCACGACTTGTCGAGAAGTCTCGTGCACGTGACGAAATGTGTTTTTTGTTTAGTCTGTCTATCCCATTCCTTCAACCTTGTACTCTTTCATATTACATTCGTTAAAAAGAGTAGGGTATATTATCGTTAACTTGCACGTTTTAAAATGTATTCTATGCCGAATGACGTGTTATATGATCGGTGTTGGGTGATAGTTCGATGTTGAGAAGTTCAAGATGTAGCGTGTATTTTAAATTAGTTGGGGTTATAGAAAGAAACAGTGAACAACAGCCGACGACACACGGCCGGTTGTTTGTTTGAGTTCAGCAAGTAACTCAACCAACAGGGCAACAGGCAAGTTTGTTTGGTGCGGCGGGCGACGGCTGTTGTCCCGTTGGTCGGATGCTTTTTCGAACTTTTGTAATTTGGTGTTAAACAAAACAAACTTTTCACGACTTTTATAATGGTGGTTATTATTGTGTTTCTGTGATGTGTTAAATTTGTGTTCGGAGTTAGTTCTGTGCATTGAAGTTTTTTTACGCTGAGTTCTACGTGAACATTGCTAACAAAAATCTGTACTTATTGAAGCGAGTGTCTTATTCCTCCCGCTTTCTCGTGATGGATAATCGGCCACTGTGCCATTCGTTGCATTATAGACATATTGAATGCCTTTAAAAGGCTGAACTAACTGGCATTCATATAAAGTAGTAAGGTACATAATTTCCTAGGATTTACCCTGTTTTGGGTACAAGTACATTTATCATTAGATATATCCCAAAGGTGTAAAGGCATATAAAGCATTTTCAATCTTAATTAGGAAACTAGTGGAATTGGGTTAAGTGAGGCGGTTAATACGTTATTTTTAAGAAAACCGTACGTAGTTTTAACACACATGCTTAATTTTTTTTCACATGCTTAATTTTTAAATGTCGTAGCGATTTATCTTATGATTAAACAAAGAAGCTACTTTGCATAAAATATTACCTAACACCATTAACTAACATAATAAAAATATAATTATGTACATACCCACAAAACTATATTTTTTCTTTCGTGGTTATTAAAACATGGACAAACATGACGTCAAATTAACAAGAGGTTTACAAGGTTATGCATTTAGTTTAAAAAAAATAGTTTTAATGTTTATTATGGGCAAGACGTCTCTATAGCGCTTTTAAACATTTAGTTTAACAATTCCTTCTCATTCTTCCCTTGAATTTTCATTTCAATTCGCAATTGATACTTTGTTGCATATTCTTGACTCATTAGGTCATGACTATACGTATTAATTAATTTCAAAGGCCTTTTAAAATTTAAATCGTAACAAGTGTCATTTCGCCAAAGGAATATTTTCCTTTTCCTGAAGTCGTAGAAACTAAAGAACACCACTTAAATTCGAATATAATAATACTGTCTAGCCTATACATCCAATGTTTGAACAACTTTATCTACCTACTTTCTGACATACGTGTAGACAGTCTGTTTGAACAACTGTAACATAAATACTGACAAAATCTAAAGCATTGAACACTTAAATTTTTCTGCCATACTCGTACTAATTCCAAAAACACGGAACTCATAAAAATCTATCGGTGATGAACGCAACTTATTACTTCCTGGCTATTTCCGGCACTTTCAATGCACTTAGAACAGCCTTAAAAGACATCCAATCAAAAATCTAAATTAGTACATTTATTTTTACTATGAAGAATTTCAGAAGGAGAAACGATCGCAGTCGTAATAATGATCATAATCTTAGTTCAATAAACAACGGTATTGTGCAAAGAACATTAACACAGAGAGAGTATGTCAACTCAAGCAAAAGTGAATCTTTGTATAATTTGAAAGTTGATTGACAGGTTCAAAGAGTTGGTAAAGTTTTAGGGTAAAAGCCGGAAAAATGTTCTCTTCCAATCCTAGTGGGCATCTAAATAAAGTCAAATTGTAGATTGGTTGTAGGCTCCGATTGCCGTATTTAGACTCGAGAGTGATCCTTTATGCGTCTAGGAGAGGTTAGCTAGGCGAGCCAACCAAGCTCCTTTCAGAAGCGCAGAAGCCTCCTGGGACGTTCACAGGCTTCTAGGAGCGATTTTGTACCAGGTATGGTACGTGCCCGTTGCTGTGGCCACTCCCTCGCATTCCAGGATCTTTGCAAAGAGGGCTGCCCGTCGCATTAATGGTGAATAGTTGTCGGTTCAGTGCTAAGTGTCCTGTTATGGTTCCTACAACTATTCGGACTGGTCAGTCTTAGCAGACTCGATAAGTCTGCTAAGACTGACCAGTCTGCAAGTAAGTCGTACGTACACCAGTACGCTGTTTAGTCAAAATTTGTAGATAATCTAGAGCTTATTGTTTTTACCAAGGGCCGATCCGGCAAACAACCTGATTATACATCCTATTTATCAACGTGTCATCCGAAAAGTGTCGAAAACGGGACCCAAAATTGTCCCGTTTTCCCTATATAGTCGAGCCAATTAATTATTGATAATTGGTTGTCGCAGATTTTATTTGCACATAATATTCTGTCTGCCTGGCACAAAAGGGACAAATGGTCACGTTATGTATAGGTCTCGTTTGTACGATTTTACTACACCAAAATTATAGCGACCCGAATAAAAATGCTGCATCTGCCTCTGGTTTTCAAGCTTTCGAAAAAGGTAAACTAATGTTTTTTTCTTTTTTAAGAATATATATTTTACACGCCACACAGCGTTCTAGTTTTATAAAAGAGAACTCGTTAGGTTACCTACCATTAAATTCGATTTTGGAGAAGGTAAAAGTAGAAAGAGCCAGGCAGACATAAACCTTTTGCTGCGATGTTGATACATATAATAATGTATGACTATATAATTACTTTTATACAATATGATTACTTTCTTCAAGGACCAACTAGCCGAAAGTGCAGGCATTTTTATTGGATGTATAGTAATTTTAGAACTACTTTAAATGAAAATGGTTTGAAGTTTAGAACATTTACAATCATTTAATATTCACGGCGATTAATATAACTTACGCATTCGACATTTGTGTTGTCGAAAGTTTAAAAAAACATGTATTTGTATTCAGACCCGCACTTAGACTCGGAACAAACTATGTTATACATATGTATATTTACTTAACCGTACAATGTTTACATAACTGACGCCAATAAGAATCTTGTGTATTTCTGTAACAGCATTCTAAAGCTATCTAATTAAATAAGTACTAGTACTAATAGTTATACGACTAATGGGAATGACTAAACTAATCTAATCTAATCAAAAACATGGAACCTATTGGACTTTCCTTGAGATAGTAACTGTATAATATTAGAATTAGTCATTAGCATTTTGTGCCTTATGGTTCGATATTATGTTGACCAACACCTAAATACGGTGACAATCGTACAACTCCATATTTTACAAGGGATTTGTAAGTAGAAAATGAAGATAGGTAAAACGCAGAATGGATAGCTCTAAAAGTGTATGTTGAATGTACCTCAAATTATGTCGTACGCATAATATGTAATCAGCTCTACTATAATACATTGTTTAACAAAACCGTTCCTTGTTTTGTGTAGTGCCGTTGTTGTGTACGTCACCTCTGAGTCCTGACCAATAAGGTGCATACGATAACTATTTGCACAAGTGTTTCCCAAGGATTTGACTTGTACATATTTGTGTCTAAGTATTAAATATGTTTTGCAATTTAATATTTCTGTAATATACATATACCATAATTTGTCTTAAGGAAAGGATTCTGAACTAGGACATTTAAAATTATAGGTATTAGGCAAAAGTATATGAGTATACGAGTATACCTAGTCTGAAATAAATGTCAAATGAATACCTGATTATGTAACTGAAGATCAATTTAGCATAAGTACTTAGGTACTTAATTGAAAAGTATTTTTTAAAAATGTCAAATAATGAATGTAGTAAATAACGTAATTCCCGTCCCATATTGTTTAGTTACTTAATCAAATTTCGCAATGTTTACGGTATTGCGTATGTGCATTACATAGGTATTGTACTCATACAACGCAGTTCGAACAATTGATGTAATGAATGTGTCGGCGTGGCGTCTTGCAGGCGACTCAAATACAACACAAAATAACCTACAGCCACTGTTGATGTGCCCTTCCCTCCGCACATTCATTATAGCCGCAATTAGACTCGTCTAGCGACACTAAATGGAATTACCGCCATTACTTCCACAGTCCGATATTTATTGTACACGGTTTATATTGGATTCTGAAATGATATTTATCTCGGTATGGTTGAATAAACTAGTAAATGTTCAAGGTCTCTAAAATTGGTTGTATCAAAATCTTCATAATTATTCGTCCCGTACAGGTAAAAAGACACCATTTGATACAAATCCAATTGTAAAGTTATCGTTTGTATAAACAAGCACGGACTGGTTAGAATTGCGGAGTATCCAAGTTCAATTCCCTAACGGCCGGCCCCACTACTTGCAATGCAGTTATTACTTGCAAACTGGTTCCCGATCAGAGTTACTAAGAGAAAGTATCTCAGACACTACGAGATTTCCTTCACATTAGAAGTAATTCAGCAACCTTTGAGACAGTGAATATTTTGTTTTCCTGTTAAATTGGTTCTCAGAAGCTTGTACTTACAATTTAGACAAAACCCTTATTATTTAGAGTACACCCTTGTTACAAATTTCAGATTTAAATTAAAGTTTTTTACGTTAATTAGCTTTGTTCTTCAATTGTTAATTTATTTCGGATGACTTACTGTGACAACAGAGAGGGGATGTAGTGAAATACTCGTACATGCTTGACCGATTTTGTTTTCTTAAGATATTGTAAAAATAAATGTTAAGATGCGGGAACCTTTCTACCCATTCTTTTCACATGCGACATTTTGTAATTTG